ATAAACAATTTATTTCTTTTTTTTTAGTTTGATTTAAAAATATATCCCACCAAAACGGATAAAAATTTAAAAAAAAAAAAAAAAAAAAAAAAAAAAAACAATCCTGGTGTAATGCACTGCGTCACCTCCAGTATACTAAATATCCATCTTATGTTCATAACATAAGGCAATGTGGAAAAGTTTAAGCGGTGTGAATATTTTTTAAGACGCCACATGCTACTAATGAATGGTGGGGCATTTAAAAAAAGAAAAAAAAAAAAAGACATGTCCTGACTACACAGAAAGGATTCTCGTTCTCATAATAGAAAGTAAGACATCATGATGTTCATCTTATGGATTTCCTTTTGATCAGAGGGAGCTTCTTTAATGCTCGACACATTTATTGGTGTTGATAAATCTGCAGTCTAAGATTTGTGAGCTTAGCCTGTCCAATCCGTCCTCTGGGAAGCAGATATGCTGACCTAAAACAATAGGCACTATTGGATTTCTTGCAGTTACTTTGTTCCCAATTTTCATCCGTCAGTGTCTGGAAACTATCTCCCTAAACCTCGCCAGACAGATTCTGCACAAGACAACGTTTATGAGTTTGCTGCTGTTCTTAGCAAACGTTTCTTATTTCATGAGAAGAAAAAAAAAAGACTAATTTTAAAAATAATTTTAATTAATGGGGTAAGAACTGGCTTTCAAGGTATAAAAGAGTTTTAAACTGTTCCTATCTTTATGAAGGACTGACAATTTTGGATGGATTCTGTTTTTTCCACCAGATATTGTCCGTAGATTTGGTCTCCTTCAGGTATCCGGTTTAATAATTACTGAAGAACAGCACAGCTAACATCCAGCATTTTGTTGACCCAAATGTGATTGTTCAGCTTCATCACAGGCTACGTTCACAGAGTGGGCGAAAGCGACCCAAATCCAAATTGTTTGCCCATAGGCAACCCATAGCTGGCACTTTGTCACTACAGTCTGAATTGCTGTGAAAAATTCTGATCTTTAAAAGAAAAAAAAAATCAGATTTGAGACACTTCCATATGTGGTACTAACCCGTTTGTTTTCAAAATGTCTTCAGTCTGAATTGGCATATCGCATGTGATTCAACTTTTATATCATCTTTGGTTACCTAGCAACAACCTGTCGAGTAACTTGCGCCACAGCAGTTTCATGTTTCGCCACCATGCTTCATAGCTGGTTAAAAAAAAACCCTTTTTCCAACACCAGTGTGGCAGTATTTCATATTTTTAAAACAAATAAAAACTGATCAATATCGAATGATGCTGTGATGGCAAGCCACACAGGGTGAGATCCACATTTCATTAATAGTTACTTTTCACTTTAGTTTGTTTTGTAAGTTTAAGTATTCTTTATATTTTTTTCCACCTTCCAATGTTTATATGGAGTGCACACGTATTAACACTGCAAGGTCGAAATTTATTTATGTTGTATTAATATTGTTTTCTTTGTTTGAGTTACCTGGGTGTTTGGCTCCCCTTCCTGGTGGATAAAAGGCGTGGCAAAGGGCTGAGGTTCCTAAAGTACAGCTGATGGCCTCATTGGACTGAACCACCTGTGTCATGCTGGGGGGGGATGTTTTTGGGTTTATTTTATTGTTTGTGTTAATTGTTAGGTGGCAGCCATTTTGTTTTCCCCTATTGTGTCCATATGGTTTAGCTAAACCTGTATTTAAATCCCCTTCTGTGTCATTTCAGTTAGGTCAGTTTATTGTTTTGTCAGTTATGTCTTCGTCTAGTAATTTATGTTGACCTCTTTTATTGGCATGCCTGTTTAATTGTTATGTTAACTTTTGTTCATATTTTTGGGTAAATAAAACCCACCCCTTTTTGAATTCAACTACCTGTGTTCTGCGTTTTGTACTGCCTGGTCCCTGACAGATGCGATGAAACCCTTATATTGTGACACATTTTTCAGCCATGTCGTTCAGCCCCACTTGACAGCAGCAGATTGTACTTCACCCAGGCTTTAGAGTGGAACCGAGCAGTAGAGCCCACCTCCACACGTTGCAAAGAGATTATGTAACCCCCCAAAAAAACTCCAAACAAGTAAAACTGGAGAAAACAAACTGAGCAAATCATCCACCCATGGAAGTGTCCAGAGCTGTGGGGGAGCAGGTGCTTTTCTCACCCAGTCATTGGCGAGAGGCAGGGTGTACCTCGGATAATTTGCCAATCCATTACTGGGCAAAACAGAGGGAGAGAGGAAGAATGCTCATGAATGTCTCTTATCTGCAGGAAGCTGGAGTATCCAGAGAGAACATGCATGGTCTATGCAGAAAGACCATGCAGAACAAATCATGCAATATTATAATCAATATTATGACATGTTTATTTATTTAGCAATTTAATAAACAACAGCACATGGTTAACATTGTGCTATCAATGCAGTGTAGTAAGACTGAACTCAGTTTAACTGCATCAAGTCATAAAAAAACACCAAAGGAAGTAAAGTTAAGTTGGGGAGTAGATACGAACCGATCAGATATTAATATCTGCATCGATCCTGATATTGAAAAAAAATTATAGATCAGGTATTGACTATGTGCTGATCCATAAGGACAGATCTATTCAGTCTAATTCTATGCTCTGTGATTTCAGCGATGTCATGCTGTTTTATTAGCTTTACATTAAATTCAAAATTCCTAATCGCACTTTCTGAACCATTTGACAGAATGTTTGTTGCAGTTTATTTTTGATGTTTGAACAAGCTGGCCAGCATATTGTTTTGGTCATTTTCAGTTTCCTTTTTCACTTTCCATTGGCTGTTCTCCTAACTGCACTGACTGAACAAATTAAAAGTTGCTTTTTGTGTTTGATATGAAAAACATGTCAATACACCAACCGCTTGTGAAGCCGTTGGTGTATTTAAGTGTGCTGTTCTGGTGCAGAGTTAGCAAAAAATAATTCAGTATATTTATGTAAGTGTTTAAAAAAATGTTTAAAGTCAATTCAGCACCGTTTTTCTGTATTCAATTGGTATTGGCTGATATTAAACTTCAGATATCGGAAGAGAAAAAAAAATGGATCGCTTCAAGGATTAGTTGACACCGCAAGTCATAAAAAAAATGTTGATAGCGAGTTTTATTGTTATGTCGCACAGAGCAGAACCACTTTCATGTTGTTTATAGAACTGCCAGGAAGTTTTGGTGACAGTTTCGCTTTAAGTTTATGCTTTCATTGTCTGTCTGCTAGCAAGTTAGAGGAAAATCTGATTCTCATTCAGCAGCAGCACGACTGCAGTGCAGGAGCATCAACACAGACGCATAAGGACACACCGGGGCTTTGTGACAACTCCAAATGGATACGTATTGTTGCATTAAAGTCACAGTGTGGTGCATAATTTTACCTATGGCAGTAATTGGCGATAATGTCTTTGGAATCTTTACCAATATTATCGGATGTGATATGTGGTTACCGTATGTTCTTCTTTCCCTTGGAGCGGGTGTCAACAGCAGGAAATGGTGTTCATGCTGTAAGATTATCTCAACAGTAATGTTTAACTTTTAACAGCGAAAGTCTGTACAACCTTTGGTTAAGTATGTAATCTAAAACACTTCACATGGGTGGAAATTGGACAGAACTGTTCTACCCTGAAGATATATTCTTGAAAACACAGTTTGTGATTTATGAAACCTTGTTTTCCATTTGTGAAAACAAAAAGTACCCTCTACTGCAGGGATAGTAATCCATTTTAGTTTTAGTCTTCAATGCAGCTTCAATGTTGAGGATCAAGAAAAAGAAAATTAAAGATGTTTTCAACTCTAATTGTAGCAAAAGATATTTCTGGAGGCCTCAATCCAAATGCATGCCACATTTGCTGATATTTTTTGGAAAACAGTTTGAAAACTATCATTTCCTGTGGCAAAAAACCACTCTGACCCCTCGCTCACTCTTCTGTTTTGGATGTTTTGTTATTACACAAAAACCCTGGATTGGCTTGTGTTATTCCTTCTCATACTTCTGCTGTGGTGGAAGCTGAAATGTACAATGTAATTGTAACTTGCCTTTCCAAATAAAAAATTTAAATACAAATTAAATTTTTTTTTTTTTTAAAAAGTCAAAAAAAAAAGTTAAAATGATACGAGTATTTTATTTAGGCACTGTGGCTGCTGGCCTAATGATGGTGAGTTTGCACTGTACTTACTGTCCCTCGATAAGCCAGGTACACTTGGTCTTGTACTGATAGTTTCCTGGGCCGTCAGTCAGGTAACCGGACGGTCCTGTGAGCCTGGAGGAGAAATGAGACAGAAAAAAAGAATACATTTAAATCCATAAATAGACTTTTAAAATAAAAATAAATAAAATAAAAACCTGATCAAAGTTTATGTATACGAGTTGTTTGACCAACTGCGGCTTACTAGGTTTTTTTTCCCTCCACTTTTTCCAGTTTTCTTATGTATTTATTTTTGATTAATGAATTTATTTTCATTAATTTGTGTACGCGTTTAGTTTTATCCATGCCACTTGGAAGTGGGTCAGAAGGTAAAACCTCTAAGAATTAAAAAACAAAAAAAATACTGCATGAATTAAACTACTTTATAGAGACAGTATAATGCATTTTGTAGTACAATCGACCACATTACTAAAGTTGTTATGAATATGCTGTGTATATCAAATATGACTTAAAACAAATGTGACTTTGTAATTTAGCACCTTAAAATTGGGCCTCTGTCTCTTTAAGAAGCTCCTGCTCTTTCTGAAGCTCCACCTTCAGGAAGTCATCACAACATGGCTCCTCTATTAACTCTTAAACAACATTTTTACCAACGTTGCACTGAGAAGTAGCTCCCATAATCAGCTCAGCAGATGTGCAGTCCCACCAGGTGTTTGCTAATTGCTGCTGGCTAGTCTGAAGGAGACAAGCGGGGGAGGGCCAAAAGCTCAGCTCAGAGGAGGAGCTACGTCTTGAAGGCGGAGCTAGAACCACCCAGGTGTTTTGCAAAGCTGAATGGTTGCCATGGAAATTAAAGAACTTCTCAAACATGGACAAAAGAATCAAGGCAACATTCAGGTATGTTTTTTTAATGAGGGGATAACTTAATATGATGTAAAGCTCAACAATGTCCATTTTATATGATACTAAAAGTAATAAAATTGTATAATAAGAAAAATGTATAACCAAAAGCTACAAATAGTTCCACATTTCAACAATTGTGCATATCGTGTCACATTACAGCATTAAAAAACCTCAAAACAAACCAAAAAAGAAAACCAAACAAACTTTGCACTGTTGCACAAGAGTTGGCCAGCAGATTAGTGAGTTCAGGTAAACACCAACTTCTGCTGCCACACGTCACTTCAGGTAGTGGATGAGTGAGCCACAGAGTGAGTAAAGATGATTAAACCTCACGGCAAATTACAGGAGGCCATGACACAAACGCTGGTAATTGTACAGTACGGTCTGTTGTTGCCAGCAGAGGGAAGCTCGCCCACTCTGGGGAGCGAGAGAGCGTAATCATTAACGACAGCGAGCCCGCCGACGCGCCCCAGACCGTTGTTTTCCACAACAGTCTCACCTTAAAGTCTGCAGAGACGGCCGAGCCGAGAACACACATCGACTGCCGAACGGAGTGACTCGGCCCAAAGATTACACCTCCAGCCTCAAGAAACCTCAGAAACCAGATGTTATTCTGACAGATCTTGCAAGATTTAGAGGATATGCTTCTGGAAACCAAAGAAACTTTGATAGTTCTAGCCATGTGTGGTGAAAGATTACTTTATTCATATCTAGGCAACAAGTGCACTGCAACCTCTTGTTTGTGAAAGGTTTCCTAAGGCCACAAAGGGACAGGTCAACAGTAGCAGGCAGTTGTTTAGGTTGGGAGGCTCAAAGTCCATTGGCAAGGGTGTTTTTAAGAGAATGCCAAACATATGACAGCACTGCACTACAGGCTACCATGCTGTATCTTGTGACAAACATTGTAGATGTAATCTTAAAAAAAGGAGGAGTTGAATTCCAAGAAAATCTCAGAAATTTTATGAGATTAATCAGAATTTTGGGGGTTTTTTCTCTGAATTTTCTCCTTTTTTGTGGTTGTAGTATCTGCAGTACTTATAAGAAGGCCTGTCACCATAATAAACTTAGTCAGGCGTCCCAGAAATTATTGCAATAAACGATAATATTGTCATTTTGAGGTCATTTTCAGTTAGTGATTATAATAATGGCTCATTAGTGTAAGTACACCCAATCAAAAAATAAGAAAAGATTTAAAGAACATCTAACACTGTAACTGGAAAACATCTTAAATCTCCAAAATAAAAACAATTAAAATGGATTATTGAAACTGTGTTTCCAAAAATAATAATCATTCACTCAGAACAAGGAAAACACGCAAAAGTGATTTCCTAATGTTTCTCAAAATTTCAGCTGTTGTCCAAATGGAAATGATCACACATAAGAAAATAAATCTTAAATGAAGGCAGAGAGAACAAAATCCTGCTGAAGGCTTGAGTTGGTATCACAGGTTCACAGCTTACCAACTGCTTTGAGAGAGCAGGTAAAGATGTGAGTATCAGTTCAGCGGTTAGCCGGTAATCACAGCTCTCAGGGGCATACAGGGACTCCCAGCTCGCAGACAAGCTGAGCTCCTTCAAACAAAAAGCGGCTTCAGACACTCCTGATCCCAATGTGCCACCCAGCAGCAAGCACACAGCTTCTTTAACACTGTTCTTGTCACTTATTTTAAAAAACACAATCTCTACTGACACAGATTGCTCAACAATACATGCCGTTCCAGTCTACCTTCTCCACATTTTGATACATTAAAAGGACTGTACCCAGTAAATATTGGGGAATTTATACAATACTGGATGATGCCATCAGTTGCTAGCAGACGCTGCTAATCCACTTCATTTGCTTTTGTCAGATGGTTTGAACTTTCTCCTTTGGTCTATCAATCCATGAAGCTTCTTTTACCATTTGACGTAAATTTTACATCCATAAAACCAAATTAAAATCAATTTACGTTTATCATGAAAAATAATAGGGGTGCACCAGTTGGAGTTTTCAGGCCTGACCTGCCAATTCTGATTTCGGTCAGAAACCGATTTTTCTTGTCAACAGAAGTGGACCGTGGCTGATTTTCAGACCTGTGCGACAGTAAATGAGACTGGTTGCTCAGACAAGTATCGTCCAATTGCTGATTTCCCAAAGTCAAGGAAATAGGGAAGAATTTAGCTGTGCACTGCACGACTAAATAAAAGAAAGAAAAAAAAAATCTAAAAACGTTCAATGAACATTATGATTTTGATAAGTACTAAAGCTAACCAGAAAAAAAATTATGAAACCTGTTTTATCTGCTTTCACTTTACATCAATAAAACAAAACAACCACAATTGTAATCGGTACACAAAATCTGATATGACAGCAATTAAACTGTTTGTCGACTCATCAGCTTTGGCTGACCCACTTAACTTTAACTGAGTCAGCTAACCAATACATCATGTACTGCTCTGGATGGGAATAGAGAGGCAGACTGCATAGTAAGCTACAAGCTAGAACTGTAATCCATGGTTAATTATTAGTGAAATGAATTTATTTAGACTAGCAGTTTAAGATCCAGTTGTTTTAGATTAATAAGTTGAGAAAGCACAATTTTCAGATGTCATTATCTCTAACTCAGCATTGGCTTTTTGCAAAATATTTGAAGCATCTTAATCAAACTAACACATGAGGTTAAAATCTTAGACAAATTTAAAACCTCCGTATTACGGCCACGCTGAAATTTTGATGCCAGATGTTAAATGCAGTTCTTACAAACCATCGTATGAAGGTTCAGAATTATAAAAGCCAAGCTTCTAAAGATTTCTGCTAATTAGAAACATTTTAGTGTAACTTTATTTATTTGGAAACGATCTCATCTTTTCATACCATTCACAACTAAAATTTAATCAGAGTTTGGAAATTCAATCATTTCATTTGGTTTTGCCTGGAATGTTCAAAACTTCAATTAGTTTGGGACCGAAAATGAAACTGAAGCATTTGATAGGATTATCNAAAAAATCCAGGTTCTACAACAAAAACAATATTTGTCCTTAACAATAAATGCAGCAGGTATCTTCAGTTTTAGACCTCTCCAAATATGACCTGTTGTTTCAGTTTTTTAACTAAAACACGGAAGCTGTCTTTACCGAATCCATTTTTCAGGTATGACGTAAGATCTGTTAGTGAACGGCATCAGCTCCAGGTCACACTCCAGACCAGATGGTGGCGCTGTTGCACATTTTCATTTCTTTTTTTTAAAGCGCCATAAAATGAAGAAAAGCCTTGAACCAGAGAAGATAACAGATCCTGTTCGAATTCGCAATTTTTACTCTCAGAATATTGCCTTAAAAATAGAGACAGCCTTGATAATAGTTAGTAGTTTTGGTAAATTCAAGCTTGTGACGTCCTAGTCCGAGTTAGACGACAACACAACTGGACAAGAACCGGATGGAAATGAAATGTGGGTCACGAAAGGAACCGAAGGGACGAAGGCTGCTAACGTGCTGCTAGCTGGTGCTAAGTTTGCTTCAAAATGCTAATTATCTTCGTTTAATTATAAACGGTGCAGTAAATATATAAACAAACTTACGTTAGATTCAGGAATAGTCATTTTATAGTGACTTTTATGATTTTTACTGTAACAATCATTCAGCTTCATGTTATGACTTCATGGAGGCTGTTTGTTGCGAATTAATATACTTTCTTCATAAACTGGTTTTAATTTAGCTCAGTTTGCCAGAGACTTTGAAATTAAACACCCGGCTGCTGTTATAACTCGTTCATCATTGTTTCTATCGTCAACATATTTTTGCAGTAAGCAAATTAATATGAAAGAAGAATTAGAAAACCTAAAGACTTTCCTGTCTCAGAAGAGGCTCTGGCTCCACCAGATCACCAACCAGCTCTGAGGATGAACCTCCACATCGTCTTCATGGTGGAAAGATTTTTACCTTACTGAGCAGCTGGCCACATTTTTAACAGAAAACTGCTGTGTTATCAACACAAAGTGCTTAATAAACATGATTGGATTTAAAAATAATTGGACAGAATTTATTCCCCTTGTTATTCTACCATTTCTCTTTCATGGTTTTTATTTGTTGTTAGCTTTTAGGGCCCTGTGATGGACTGGTGACCTGTCCATGTTGAACCCTGCCTCTCATCTGATGGCTGCTGGAGATGGGCACCACCAGCCCCCCTCACCACCCTGCAAGGATCAATGTGTTCAGATCATGGATGGAAAGCTTTTACGGTAGTTTGTCTCCTTAAGTCCACACTTAAAACAGCTTCATAGTTAATGCCAGCATCAGCTGATTCTATGACATTGCTGACTGTTTTTTTCTACTTCTAACATAAACAGGCAAAGAAGAAACCCAGAAATGTTTTTTCACCCCAGGCATCCGGTCCCAGTCATCATCAGTTCTGATGATGTCACATACATGGCGAGTCCACAACGTCTTGAAATTGTAAGTATTTTTTTTTTCTGTATTCTTTAAAATACAAATGCTTTCTCTGTTTAATTGCTCTATTGTTCTTTTTGTAGGTTTCTGTAGGTGCAGTGAACAGGAATGTTCTGTCGTTGACCTCACTGTTCTTAGGAAGGAGAAATATTACTGCAGTAAAACTAGAATACTGTGACACTGTATTAAAACAATACTCTATCCTTGGTGAAACAGTTTTCACATTTCCTCTAAAGTGTACCTATCGTTTTATTGTGCTAATTTTCATAAGCATGTTGTCTGTAAACTTTGAATGTATTGACAATTTGTACAATTTTGTTATAGTATATTGGCTCTTGAAAAATGTGGGTAACATTTTATTTGACGGGGTGCAAAAGACTGACATAATACTGTCATAAACATGACAGAACTGCTGTGTCATGAAGTGTCATGAAGTGTCATTTGGTAAATAATACCACTTTTATTGAGAAGTTGCTTTAAAAGTTGGATTAAAAGTCCATTAAAAGTGCCAACTTTGCCTTATTTTGTAAATGACATTCTAATGCAAAGTTGGCACTTTTAATGGACTTCTAATCCAACTTTTAAAGTAACTTTGTATTAAAATGTCATTATTTACCAAATTACAATGACCAAATTAATAAAAGACTTTAAGTAACTAAAAAGTTACTTCATTAGCAATTATAATAAACCAAAAGTGTAACTGTAGCATACTGTGATCACACTGATATATAAAATCTGTAAAGCTTAAAATACATTCCAAATGTATTTCAATCACAAAAATAGTTCACTCAGAATAAACTAATCAAGCATGTTTAATACAATTTAAATACTATTAAAATACACTAAGTGTACTTCAACAAACTTTTTAGAACAACTTATACTTATGTGATGGCAAGCCACACGGTGAGATCCACATTTCATTAATAGTTACTTTTCACTTTAGTTTGTTTTGTAAGTTTAAGTATTCTTATTTTTTTCCACCTTCCAATGTTTATATGGAGTGCACACGTATTAACAATGCAAGGTCGAAATTTAATTATGTTGTATTAATATTGTTCTCTTTGTTTGAGTTACCTGGGTGTTTGGCTCCCCTTCCTGGTGGATAAAAGGCGTGGCAAAGGGCTGAGGTTCCTAAAGTACAGCTGATGGCCTCATTGGACTGAACCACCTGTGTCATGCTGGGGGGGGATGTTTTTGGGTTTATTTTATTGTTTGTGTTAATTGTTAGGTGGCAGCCATTTTGTTTTCCCCTATTGTGTCCACATGGTTTAGCTAAACCTGTATTTAAATCCCCTTCTGTGTCATTTCAGTTAGGTCAGTTTATTGTTTTGTCAGTTATGTCTTCGTCTAGTAATTTATGTTGACCTCTTTTATTGGCATGCCTGTTTAATTGTTATGTTAACTTTTGTTCATATTTTTGGGTAAATAAAACCCACCTTTTTTGAATTCAACTACCTGTGTTCTGCGTTTTGTACTGCTTGGTCCCTGACAACTTAGTATACTTTATATTATTGCTTTTTATGCAATATAAAGCACAATGTAAAGTACACTAAGCACAAAATTAGTTGTTCCAAAATGTCACATTTTAAGTTAACTAATCCTAAGTGAACTTTAAGTATATTCATGATTAGTCTGACTTTAAGCATGCTTAAGGCTCAAATTTAACATACTTGGTACATTTATTTCTCCCCATCAGTCTTCAAGCTGCTACCAACAACAAGTTGATTCTTTTTGAAGATATTCTAGATATTTTCCACTATTGCTGGTTTTTATTGTTTGTTCATCTGGAAGGAAATCAATCTGCTTGGTTTCCGCAGCAACTTAAAAGCAAAGTGGGGCCATCTAGTGGACAAAATGTGAAATAAGGAATGAGAACATCGAAATGAGGGTTTTAAGAAACCATGAAAATAATCAGACTCTGACAATTAAAGGCTATTTATTTAGAGAAATGAGAACATAATGCGCTCCAGTGTTAAATCAGAAACCAAACTAAACATTTTTTAACTGATGAGAGACTGCATGATACACATGTTGCATTTCAGTTCTGAAACTTATGAAGCCAACAGGAATCCCTGATTGGAAAAAAAAAAAAAAAACACATGCACAGCGTCCCCTACAGGCTTCTATTTTAATAAAATGGAAAATTACATTTTCAGATCATGTCTGATCTGAAAACTTAATAAAAATTAGAAAAAATATTAAATGTACATAAATCTAGTTTCCTTCAACAACTTAAAAACAGTCAAAAAACCTCAACAATCAAAATCTGATTTTTGGAGCTCGTCAGCTTTGCTTTAGAAATCACTGCAGCATTAAGAGACGCCCTAAATGCCATTTGGTCATGATAGCTATATGTTTAAATGATGATGCTTCCATTCTTCAGAAATGAACCCATAAACTCCTGTGTGCGTCTTAAAATCCCAGACTGGATTCTGGCACCTGGTTGGCCGTGCGACAGCGCCGCGGGTCGCCGAGGGTCACTGCGGCGGGTTGGCCGTGGTCGCCCGCAGGATGCCTCGCAGCACCTTGTAGTGGCTCAGCGGGTGGTTCTCTTTTGGGGGGAAGCAGGGCCCGCGCTCGGTGGCGTAGGAATACGGAAAGCGCAGAACCCAGAAGCCGTCGTTCAACAGCGTCACCTCCGTCTGCTCAGGGTGGAAGATCGGGCAGGGAGGAGGGCCGGGCTGCACCTGCAAACAGAAAAACACTGAGAGCAAAGCAGCATAAGAACTAAAACCATCACAATTCAATTCCATTCAGGTTGAACCACCAGAACCATTAGATCATGAGACAGAGATTCGTTTTAGGAAAGGGTTGGGGCTAGAGAGCCGACAGCTTTCTGGATATTGTTAGAATAAGTCAGATGCAAATAAATAAGGATTTAAATAAGAAAGTAAACATTCCTTAAATGAAAGTTTGTATCATCAGCAGCTAAAGACAACTCTTTCAATAATGGCTTCATCATGAATGTCCGTGGCCCTCCTGGCTTGCCGTAGTTTACCTGGGGGTTCAGGGTAATCTCCAGTGGCGCGTCAGGCACCACAACGAAAAGCCGAGCCAGCTGAGCGAAGTGCGGCTTCAGGCCGCGGCCCTGGGCGGGCGACGGGACGTAGAGCGGCATGTCGGCGTTCAGCACCCTGCTGGCTGGATCTTTGGCGCCGCCTGGCCCCAGCGCCTTAACGATTTTGTCGGGTCCACTGCTGATGAAGCGCCGGCCCCGGCCGTCTTCATACTCGAACCCCACGAAGGCCCGCGCCGCGTCATCCCTCCGGCGGCTCCGGCCCGGCCCGGCGCCACCGCGCTTCCCCACCGGGTTCTTGTTGGGCGCCGGCCAGGACGCCGTCCCTCCGTCTAGAGGCTCCGCGGGGCCAGCGTCCTCCTCTGAGCGGGAGCGGATCACCAAGTCCCACGGCAGCAGGAAGGAGGAGCCCGGCAGGAAGCCCGGCTGCTCCAGACCAGTGTGACAGTTGTAGGACTTTGCTGGTCCCAGTTTGAGCAAAGACCAGCTGGAGAACTTTGGGAGGAGACCTTTGGGACAGGCGGAGTGCGTCATTCCTGGAGACAAAGACAAAAACATTTACATGCCTCAATAGCAGCAATGTGAACACCATATGCCACTTTTTCTGCTTTGTTCATTGGATTTGGCCAAATATATAACTTTAAAACATTTTTGTTTAATAAGATATATTCATATAAATGTATGCAAAACCAATCATTTTATATACAGCGCCTTCTGAAAATATTCACCCCTTTCAACTTTTCAACCTTTTGCCGCTTTTCAAGCTTCAAACATAAAGACCTAAAATCTTTATTATTTTGTGAAGAATCAACAACAAATGGGACGCAATCATGAGGTGGAACGAAATTTATTGGCAGCAGCAGCGGCGGTTCTCTGACTTTATGGGATGAACAGAAACTCGCAGAAGGTCACCGGGCGTGTGGCTGTGAGCCGCGCTCTGCTCCTTGGGCCGCTTCCCGTCTGCCGACGTCTCTGACGGCGGCCGCTGGGCCCGGTCCGAGGTCGACAGGCGGGGGTAATTTAGATGACGTCATCATTTGATTTTGCGATATTAATTTTTCCACCGCCGTAAAAAAGAAGAAGAAGAAAAAAAACTCGCCGGTGTTCCCCTAAGCGACTCGGCCGCCCTACCTGGCAGGTACTCCACGGTGGACGGCTGGCGGTCCACGAGGCTTGGCCTCTTGGGTTGGACCGGGCCGTCGGCCGCATCTGCGTCCGCGTACGCCCCCAGGCTGTCGGTGGACTGGCCCAGGCTGAGCGCCAGGCTGAGGCTGGCATCGCCGGGCGTGTGGCTGTGAGCCGCGCTCTGCTCCTTCGGCCGCTCCCCGTCAGCCGAGGTCTCTGACGGCGGCCGCTGGGCCCGGTCCGAGGCCGGCGCCGGGTCCAGAGTGCTGGGCTGGAAGACCGGGAAGTCGATCCGCTCCAGCTTCCCACAACATTTCTCCTCCAGGTTCTGGGCACGACAGAAGAGACAAACTAAACCTGCTTTCCTTCAGGTGGAAACGAAACGAGCCGACGGGAAAATACTGAACGGTTAGACGGGCTGATACCGGTCCAATAGAGTTTCAGAATAATAAGGAAAACACCGTATTGTTAAAATATCACAGAGAGGATGGAATAAAGGTAGGAAAGATGAATTTGTAAAACAACTGTTATTGTTATTATTATTATTAATCAGAGAAGGGAAATGTTTCCATAAACATGAATTGTTCAAAAAGATAATTATTTTATTTCTATGATTTCAGTTCAATGTCAAGTTCAATCTCAGAGAACAAAGAAATGTTCTCTAAACAGGAAACGGACTCCACTTCCTGTCGGTCTGTCAGAAGTTGCTCTGCAGGGAGATATCTAGAAATAGATTGAACTGGTCTGCAGTGTAGATCCTGACCTGGTAGAAGTCGTGGTTGGCAGCCTGGATGTCAAAGGGATCGTCTCGAGGTGCCTGCTTCCTGCCGCAGTTACAGGCACTGGTGGAGCGCCCCCTGCTGTTGTGGTTCATGATGGGCGGGTTGTGGTCCAGGTCCGGCTTCTCACCTGCAGAAATGACATTAATTTTGGAGGCAAACAGCTGATAGAATTATGATTAATTGTCAACTATTAGATTAAAATTAATTCCAATTGATTAACTCATAATGTTCACTGAAACTTTCTTCATCAACAGTGGCGCCAGCAGCCGCTAGGCGTAGCGTCCTGCGCCAGCAGCCGCTAGCTGTCCGGCGGAGCGTCTGACCTGGCTGAGGCAGCAGGTGGAACTTGTGCACACAGTGTTGGTCCGTCAGGCTGCGCTCCTCACACAGCTGGTGCCCGTTGCTCCAGAACTTGTAGCAGTCTTCGTGAAGCTGCACTGCATAGCGTTGGAAGGCCACACCTCGAGCGTGCTGGCTGTACACCCGCAGCGCCTGCGCCAGCTGGTTCTTGTGGACCGTGGTGGTGTAGTTGTGAGGGAGGTTGGACTGGTAGGCGCTGTGGGCCAGAGGCAGAGCTTTCTGACACCGGTTTTCTGAGAACTTTGTGTCGGCGTCGAGAAAGCCATCCAAGACCTTCGCCTGGCTTTGGACCTTGGTGGCCAGCTCGGCCAGCTCCTCGTCGGTGTTGGAGATCAAGACCTGGTAGAGTCGGGAAGCCAACTGGACCCATTTGGTGAAGGTCGGCAGCTCAAAGTGGGAAGGTTGAGGGTTACGGCCGACGCTGTCGTCGAAGCCCTTCTTGGTCAGAACCAGCTCGACGTGCTGCCAGAGGAATTCCTTCAGGCTGCAGTCCACCAGCTGGCCACCCATCGGGCCGCCGGACTCCCTGCTGCCGCTGGGCTGCCGAGCTGACCTACGCATCTGCTGGTACCTCCTTGGCCCGGTGAGGACCGGGGCGGAGTCCTGATCCGACAAGATGCAGTTGGACCGCAGCTGGCCAAGCAAAGCGCCGACCGGGTCGTGATCTGCTGCCGGGATCACGTAGACGAAGGCCTGGTTGGCAGGCACCGTGAACAGACAGTTGCTGCTTTGGTTGGTGAGGACTCGGCTTTTACGGAAGATCCGGTAGATCTGGTCCTCCAGAGCGTGCTGCAGACGCCTCCTCGGGGAATGCTTCTTGGGCTTTTCGGGGTTTCCTCCAGAGTCTGAGCCGTTCCCAGGGACCTTTGGAACAGCAAAGAGAAGAGAACGAGTTACTCTGTGAGCGGCAGACGGGCCATCGGGAGCACCGGGACTTTTCCTGCTGGCCAGGCCACTACAGGGCTAAAGGGTGGGGTCAGCTTGCACTTGAAGCTGCAGAACTTTTGTGGAAATATATTTTTTACATATTTTGTTGAAACTGTTGCTATATTAGTTTGCTATGAGATAATGTATGAAAAAAAAAATTCAAGCTCCACTGTCTTCCCCCATTGCTAACTAGAACAACCAATCAGCCGGGAGCAGTCAATCACAATCTTGTGGTGCGCTGTTCATCCCAGTTTTCCCTTCCCCATTGCTCTCCGCTATGCTGCAGCTAGCATAGCCACCAAGGATGGCGAATGACAGATAAAGGGTTTTCGTGTAATGGTAAGTTCTTTCTTCACCATTAGCATATTTAGCAGCACATGCATTAAGTTAACTGACAGCGCTAAACCCCACCTCCTGGCACTGATTGGTTGTTTTGGGTTCATTTCTTCAGACGGTGATAGCAGCTAAGGGAGGAGGTCGATCTGCTCACAGATTATCTGTCTCAAACTGTTGCAACATGGTGACAGTTTGAACAAATGTGGAAAAAAACAGTTTTATAAAAGTTACTAATTGCAGCTTTAACAAAATCAATCCATGCTGTTCATGGAGCAGGGAGACTCCAGGTGGTGCAGGTCGTTACGCTGAAAAGCCTGCAGGGATTCACCTGCTCTGTTGTAGGAACGTCGATCAGAACGCCTGCATATCGACGAGAACATGTGCTGAAGTTTCCTCAACAGGAAGGCTATCATAAATATTCATATGAACTTGTTTCTGATCCATAAATGTGCAGAAAAGATGTTTTCTGGCACTGAATGGATGGATGGATGGATGGATGGATAATGGACCAACTGATGGAAGGATGACTGGAATGAGCGTCAAGGAGAGAGATTACTAAGTAATGGGTGGAATAAAATAGAATCTATTAATTCTTTTTTAAAGTCTCCCTAGTCTGAAAATTCTTCAATTCTGGACTTTTCCTGTTTATGAAAGAAAATCTTTTTATACCTTTAGATCAGTGTTTCTCCACCCTGGTCCTCAGCCCCCCTGCTCTGCATGTTTTAGATGAGCCTCTGTTCCAGAACAGCTGATCCAAATGATTGCATGACCATCAGGTGCTGCAGAAACCTGGTAATCACCCACAGATACAATCCAGGTGGTAGAAGGGAAACACCTGAAACATGCAGGACAGGGGCCTGAGGACCAGGATGGAGAAACACTGCTTTAGAGAAACTCAAGACCAAACCCTTGAAGAAAATGAAGGGTTTGGTCCCTTCAGGGTTTGGAAGGCCAATGACTGAAGCTTCAACATGAAATGAGTAGTGAAGCAGCAGAAGCTGCAGCTCGGACCTTCAGAGTCGCATTCATCTGGAAGACAAACAGCAGCCGCGGAGGACACGGCCTGCAGTTCAGCTTCCACTCTTTGGACACCGCGCAGTCTTTGATGGCAGCCCGGATCAGTGGCAGGACCTTCTGCCGCAGGGCGTCCAGGGCCCGGAACAGCCGATCGTAGGTCACATCGAAGGTCTGGCTGGGGTGGACCAGCAGCAGGACGTGGCACACGGAGAACATGTAGAGCAGGTGCAGGCAGTGCTGGCGGTCCAGGCCCTTCCACAAGTCGTGGGCGTCGGCGTGGCTGATCCCGGCGCTCAGGGACCGGCAGGCCCGCAGCAGCTGCCGGCTGTCGCAGACGGAGGACAGCAGCAGGTACAGGACCCGGTTCTCCTGGTCGTAGAGAGCCTGGACGTGGCTGTCCGATGAGTCGCCCTCCTCCGACCCGAACAGAGAAAAGATGTGTTTGTCCGCCAGCGTGTTGATGAGCGCCTCCTTCAGAGGCCCGGTCTGGGTGCTGCTCTTTCCGAACACACCGACCACACACAGCCCGTCCTCCCGGTGAGAAGCGTCCTCCTGCGGCTCCGCCCGAAGCAGAGCCCCGAGGTCCACCGGAGGAGCCATTTTCACCTCCTTCATGACGGAGAACCGCGGAATGAAAACAGAAACGGAACGGTTTCCCAGCACACTTCCGGTTCCATTCACTATAAGGACCGGGTAGGAACCTGTTTATTTAAATTAACAACCCCGTTTTGTAAAAATGTTACTCAATATGTAATTAAACCTATAATTAAAGCAAATTTAACATGTGGAAGAAAAAAACACACCTATTTTATTGTTCTTTTATCAAAGAACAGGATTCATCTAATTTTTACACCTCTAAAACATTGAAATAAAGGGGATTTTTTTCTAAACAGTTCAAGAAAGTCTGAGAGTTTATCCTCATTAAGATAAACAAATGAAATGAAAGGAATTAATTATGGTGTAAAATGCTTACAGAATAAATGGTAAAGCGTTGGCTAATATATCCCAACTCCTGATGTCCATTGGAATGCACATTCAAGCCTACAATCTAATGATAGTATTTGAAGTCATTTTGAAAATATTTTCTATCACTGGAAATACTTAAACTATACCAACAGCGAGTTTATTGTGGTACAATGAACTGGCATTGATATTCTTGATTGAAAACAGACAGTTACTCATCCTCTTCTCTGGTTTCAGAGCGACGCTTGTCTTGTCTGAAGTCTGAATCTCTCATGTCAAGTTCAGATTCAATCTCATTGGTCAATAAAAAAACTAGTTGGTAACAAGAACCATTCCAATTTAATGTTTTTTTGGACAGAGGAGCTGTTTGGCACAAACTAGTGGCATTGTTACACAAATGGGGTTAACTGAGTCTCCATAACAACCATAAAGATGTCCTTTTCAGGGCAGCTTTCTGTTTTGGAGGAAATTTTATAACGGCTTGTCTTTTAATACTAAGAACCTCATTAAATCTCAAAACCTGTTTATTTACTTTTTATTCTTTGGCATTTAAACATGCAGAGCCCTTTGGTCAACAGTTTTCTTTTTTTTTTAGATGTATTAATGAATACATTTCCTTTGACATTTACTTTCCCAAAGAAGTCCATCTACCTCCCTCATCATTTAAAGAAACAGTACAAGCTAACCGTGCCGTTATGTGCATCACTGTTATTGCTGCAGCCTTGCAAAAAGAAAATATTTATGTCGCACTTTTTACAGGTCAGAGAACCTGCTTTAAAATAGAAACAAAGATTAAAAACAGATGATAAAAGCATAAAAAACTGATAAAAACAGAACACATCCAAAATCAAACATTTTCTCAATATCCACCACAGGTTTTAATACCCATGATTGTCGTCTTGTTAACTGGCCATCACTCCATTCACCCAGATTAATAAATTGGTACAAATTAATCTTTTAAACTATCACTGGAAAAACCAAATCCTTCCTACTGTTGCCTCACTCATCCATTTTTTCAGAAATACCTGCATTTTACATTCTAATAAATTAATTACATCAATAGACCAGTCATTTCATTTTGCTGCACCAATTATTGGAACGACTTGCAAAAACACCAAAGCTCAGAAGATTAACTCCAATATTGATTTTTATCAACTCGGTGAAAAACTGTTGACTTATCCTGTATGTTGTAGTTTGTTTAGTTCAGGGATGCTCAAGTCCTCCAGAGTTTCTGTCCTTTCAGCTTCCAGGTGCTTCATGCTTCAACACACCTGAATCCCTCTGACCCCTGACCCCCAACCTCTGACCTGTAACCTCTAACCTTAACCCGGGCCTGATCAGAGCCAATCCTGGTCTGTTGGAGTAAATATGCATCTAAAAGTTGCAGGACTGGACTTGAGCACTCCTGGTTTAGTCAATATAAATTTGGTTGTATTTTTATTTTTGTTCTATGATATTCTTCTGTTTTCTGCTGTGTGATGTTTTTATATTTCCTGAACAAGTCATTGTTAAAAAGAGGATTTGTTCTCAATCAGCTTCCCTGGCTAAATAAAGTTTAAAATGAACAATGAAAAGAAAACATAAAACCTGTTAGAAGCCAGTCTTAATAAATTAATTTTCTGTTTCTTAGAAGAATCGTCTGAGATGAACAGACTGTGAGCTTGGTGCTGCAGGTGAGCTTGGTGCTGCAGGTGAGCTTGGTGCTGCAGGTGAGCTTGGTGCTGCAGGTGAGCTTGGTGCTGTGTTCAGGATGAGACTTTTCTGGGATAAAGTTAGAGAAGGAGAAATCATTGCAGTGGCGCAATCCGTCTCTAGGGAATCTGTTATTCAGGACATGCAGAGGGAAGCGTGCTGGAGGCAGAACGCTGGTCCTGGAAAGGACGCAGAGTCTCCTCTGAACTGCAGGTGATTTCTGTTAAACTACGGAGCTGGAAAAACTTTCTGCCCCCTCAACTGATCTGCTTTTACTTTATTCAGTTAAATAAAAAAAAAACGTAATTTATCCCAAAGTGAAATTAAATATTCTTCTAACTCACATCATCCAAGCACCTTTAGAGCCGTTGTGGGTGACGCTGTGGGCACGAAGGATCTCCAGTAGCAGTTCGCCTCGCAACGAATCTGAGGACGCCTCTGACTGAATGCTGTTGCTGTTTGTGAGATTCTAACAGCTCAATATCTGAACAGAACAGACGATTTTCTTCAGTAATATCCTGGATGACCCCAAGTTCTACTAATCTACTTCAATTGCTTTTGTTGCACCTCTTAAATCTTTTCTGGCTGTTTTGTTAGAAAGCAGAGAGACGTTATAGTCACACATCTGATCCGTGAAGATTTGCACTTCCTGCTTCTCTCTGCATGAAGCCTGGAGTTTGCTGAGCTTTTGAGATGCTAATCAGCCAGCTGCTCCCAGTTGTAAAAACAATCTCTTGTTGCCATGGTTACTCAATATAACTGAAAAAAAAAAAAGTAAAAAAGTGTGAGCAAAAATCGCTTCAGCTGCACGGTGTCCATAACCAGAGGGAATAAAAAAATGAAAAAATAAAAACGATGAAAAGTTTTAAAAAGAATGAATGAAAAACAATAGTAACAATTGTTTCTTTATATTTATTTCATTTATTCAATTAGGGATAATTACAAATACATTGGTATCTTCTAGTGTTAAAGCAGCATCTATCCTCTGGAGGATTTTAAAGGATAAGAAAAATAAGAAAATAAAAATGTGGAAAAAAAGGATGATATAATCTGTGTAGCATAGAAATTACAAGTTTTAAAAGAACAATGTAATTTATAGGAACAGGACGTTTTTGCTGCTCGGTATGTGTAACTGTTTGACCTCTGACCTTTTCTCTTATTTAAGGTGAGCTGACGTCATGTGATCCACTAACGGTTTAAGCTCCACATTCACTCTCCTCCCTCTGAGGGATTAGCGTCTCTACTGAGCGACAGGCTGAAGCCGAAAAGAAAATTTAAAAACATAACAATCTTCAGATCAGGCTGACCTCTGACCTCTGGCGTGAACCTTCAGATCAGATTCTAATTCAATTGGTCAAAATCCAAATAAATACCCAAACATTCGCTGGTGTATGTCAGTAATATTGTTATGAAGATAATCACATAACTGTTTCAGGAAATCGTCTCATATTTATTCAGAAGAAAATTATTCATCCAGCATAAACAATGTGAGCAAATCTGAGGAAAAGTCTGAATTCTTTGTGTTCTTGCCATTGACAGGAATTTAAATATTGTTTTATTTCCAGCATTTTTTTCTTACTTATGGAAAGAGAAATAATGACTGAATGATAAATGATGAACTTATTAAAATAGAAAAGTCCATGAGAGATTGCTGATTTGATTTGATTTGATTTCAAGGTCACTGCTCTTCCTCACAACACTCATCCTCCTTCGTGATGGCATGTTGACTAAAAGCTCTCGGACGTCAAAGCAAGCGGCGCTGGCTGCGTGCGCGGTCACGTCAAACGCCGTCTTCCCTCTGACGTCACTGCCTCCTGATCAGCCGAAATCCCTGATAACGCGGCGCGCGCTCCCGCTCGGCTCTGAATGGGGGCTCGGTCCAGCCGGTGACAGCTCGTCCAGTCCGTCTAATCCACGGCTCGCCGCTCCGACACCACCGGCCGTCCTCGGGCCCCGCTCCTCCGGTTCTACACAGGTATTCAGGTAAGACGGCAGCAGGAGGTGCAGGCTGTTCTCACTTTGCTCCCTTTTTCAGACAACTTGGTGCTTTGTGTCCGTCTCTGCCCAGGAATGAGAAATGATGGCCGGCTCTACAGCAGAGGAGAAAACCTTCCGCCGGTTCCTGGAGCTGTTTGTCCGGGAGATGAGGCTGCCTCTGCAGGAGGGCGACCCGGTGCCGATGCGCCCCTTGTCGGACCTGGTGACGGAGGACGAGGTGGAGGGGGAATGCCTGGACCTGTGCCTGCAGCACCTCTACAAATAGTTAAGAGACTTTACTTTGTGTCCTGGCATGCGCGCGTTTCCGTGTTTCAGGCTTTCATCGGGTTGGTTTGTTTTTTCCAAACTGGGTTCTTCTGGTTCTGACACCTTCATGCTTACCTGCTGCTTGGACGGGATGAAGGGTGTGTCCTACTCCAAGTTCAGACAAGAGTCTATGCGGAGACGCTGTGGAGAATGAAATCGAGCCAAAAGCAGAAGTTAATTCTCACCTCTACCGCTTTGCCCTGCGCGCGCCTCGCGTCACTTTGCGCATCTCGATCGTTTATTCGCTCATTTCTGCGCCGTTTTGCTGTTCTGGCTTCGTGCTGTGGAAGCTGGAGGTCTACAAAAGGTGAACCCCTGCTTTTGCGTAACAGCACAACGTCATGGTGGTGTAGGGGGGGGGGGGGGAATCCATGGCTTTTGACGGCCTTTCTACGGGGCTAAAAATAACCATCGGTTATGTTATTACAGCAGATCGTTACTAAAAACCCGCGCAGACACGCAGCCTGAACAGGAGGGAACTCCAGGTTCCGATTCCTCCAGTAAAACCTACTGCAGAGTTCGGAGTGTTGGGCTTTAACCTGGCAGCTGCTGGATGTTCAACCGGAACCAGGAAAACTGGAGGAGCGTTTCGCTCTGATGCCGCCTGGCCTGGTTTAGAATCCAAAATAGGAGCAGAAACTGTGCTGGAAAGAGGAGCCGGCCGGTCATTTGGGGCATGAAGGAAACCTCCACCCTCCAGCTGGATGCTGAGCTCCGTTTCACGTTGCTTTGTCACGTTGCAACTAGGGCTGAAGCCATTAATCGTGATTAATCGATTGTTGAAGTTTTCGTCAACTAATTTAGTGATCTATTAATCATCAACTGGAGTATACAGACTCAAAATAGACATTTTCTAAAAGAACAAGACGATCAGAGCACATTTACATTTTGCATTTAAGATAAAAAACGTTTGCAAATATGTTTTTCTTTCTGAAACTTTGGCTGCATATTTAATTCTGTAAAAAGAATCTGCTACTAAAGTACCTATCCAGTTATTAATTGGTTAATGTAACTGTAGGTAGAAAAAAAGAATCAATTTACTCCAATAAGCCTGAAGTGGTGAAATGAAACATTTTCTGGATGTCAGAATAATCTGCAGAAAAATCAGTTACTAAAATAATCATTAGCTGCAAATACAAACATCAGTTTATTTTAATGAGGTTTTATGATAGACCAGCAATTCATATAGGGTTTTTCAAACATCTGAAAAGTGTGGCAGGCATCTGATTTCTGCTTTTCTGACTTAATCTGTAGCAGATCAACTTTTTGTTGCTCCTACAGCTGGAAGTTGTTTTGGGGTGAAAAAGTTTTTTCTTTTTTTTAACCAGCTTTCCACTTGGATCGCACCGATAAATTGGAGGGATGGTAAATTGGTCCTGATTTTCTTAATTTTGGGGAATCTGTGATTGGCCAATATTTCCATGTGAAATTAACCTTATTTATCTCCTCTAAGGTCTAAAAATCATCCACTTTCCCTTTTGCTCCGCCACATTGACAATAGATCGAGACTTCATCTAATGACTTTTCTGACAACAAAAAAGGAAATAAAAACAGAATCTGCAATTTTGCTTTTTAAATATTTACGATTGGCCAGAAAATTGTAATTAGTTCACCGCAAGTTTCCACATCTAAAGATTAACATTTCAGCTGTTTGGTAAATATTTCCAACTCAGATCGTCAATTTTCAATCAGATTTCTCAGATTTCTCAACCGGATTTCTGTCTGGATTTGAGCCGATCCGTTTTTATTTCGCTGTGGGTCAAGAGAAGAATCCACAGCTTGTTTCATCCAAACAATGAAAACAAGCAGCAGAGTTAGCACAGCGGGTCTTTAATGCAAAGTTGGCACTTTTAATGGACTTTTTATGCAACTTTGCATTAAAAGTGTAATTATTTACCGAATGACACTTCAAGACGACAGTCGTAGACATTCATAAAGACGTCTTCATGTTCATGATGATGTTGTCAGTCTTATGCACACCCCTTCAAATAAAGTGTTACCGAACTTTTTTGTCATCTATGTTAAATGCATAAATACTCAGAAATTTGTTTTTCTCACATTACATTTATAATATTTTGCCCTCAAAATGAACCGTTCTAATTGGCATCAAGGCTTTTCCTATTGTTTTACATTTGCTCTGCATCTTCCTCTGTTTTCTGCTTCTTGCTTCCTGTTTCCTGCTTTCTGCTTCCTGTTTCCTGCTTCCTGCTTCCTGTTTCCTGCTTCTTGCTTCCTGTTTTCTGCTTCTTGCTTCCTGTTTTCTGCTTCTTGCTTTCTGCTTCCTGTTTTCTGCTTCCCGTTTTCTGCTTCCCGTTTTCTGCTTCCCGTTTTCTGCTTTTTGCTTCCCGTTTCTTGTTTTCTGCTTTTTGCTTCCCGTTTCTTGTTTTCTGTTTTCTGTTTCCTGCTTCCTGCCTTTGCAGCACATGGGGAGTTTCCAGTAGAGAAGCTGAAAAGCGACATTAAGAGATTCTCGAGTGTTTACATTTCTTAAACAGAAATGGATTAAGTTCCTTTCATGTCTCATTCCTGTTCTGAAATTGCCTCCATCTTTGTTTTGGTATCCATGGATGACCAGCGACGCCTTCTGCTGGATGGTGGCTGAACTACAATACTAAGAAAATCTAAGCAGACATTATTAATCGATTGGAACCAATTTTAATCTCATAAACTATGAACCAAGAATTAATCATAAGTCAGTTAATCGTTTTGATCCCTAATCCAAAATATAAATCTATAAGAAACTTGCAGCCTTGCTGCAACTAATGATTATTTTAGTTATCAATTATTATTATTAATAATTAATTTAATCAGAGAATTAAGTGAAGTAATTACATTTTATTTAACTACTTCAGCTTACTGTATTTTTCGGACTACAGAGCGCACCTCATTATAAGCTGCACCTACAGATTCTTTGGGAAAAAAAATGGAGATGCACATATAAGCCGCTGGTGTCTCCGCCGCTCTCGGTTTTCCACAAGGAGGCAGCAGAGGGTTGCGTCCTAATAAATCTGCTATTCGTGACGCAGCCCTCCGTCTCCAGCGCCGAACCACAGATTCGTTCACGCAGAGCTCAACATGCAGCAGCTATCGATCTGTACTCCCAGATCGATATCATTCAACTTAAAAGCTGCATCATATGAATTTGAAGAAATTTCTCCGTTGTGCCTGCTGCTAGCATGTGCTTGTTCTAGATAAAAATTAGCGCTTTCTTCGATTTCCAATTTTGACTTCCAATGATTCACTTCCTGCAAAAGAGCCCCCTGGTGGTTAAAGAAAAATCTACAGAAAAGCTGCACCGGACTACAAGCCGCATGGTTGGAAACGGGGGGAAAAGCAGCGGCTTATAGTCTGAAAATAGGGTACTTTATATCATTTTCAAACTTAATTTTTTCTAAAAATAAAAAGCAAATATTTTATTGCTTAAAATAATGCAGCACTTTAGTGTATGCTTGATTGTATCGATGCGTCATGATTCGGTGGTTTGTGGTGGTGAGAATGAATGCAAGGAGATCCAGATAGTGGTGAAAAAATGATGGTTTTAATGAAAAATCCACAAAAACTAAATTCAGACATACAGGCACCACGGGGAAGAACGGAAGGCAAAAGGTCCACGACTGAACAGACTGGCACAGAGAACAATGACGGACGACATTAGACGAGGACCCGACAAGAGACACAGGACACAGGTGGACTTAAATACACAGGGAGGGTAATTAGAGAACAAGACACACCTGGGAATCAATCAAGGGGCACGAGACAGGAAACCGCAGAGACTCGGGGAAACAAAACCTAGAAAATAAACGCACAAAAAAACTCAAATCCTCACACGATGAAACTAAAAATCACATCGTGTGAAAAGCTCAGGCCTTCCTGCTCCACTTACATCTGTACAGAGCAGAGAAGACCCATTTTTTATGTTTTGGATTAACACATTAATAACTGGATAGAAAATGTGTTTAGTTTTACTTTTTTTCTGTTTTACAAAATTTGAACCAGGTGAAGCTAAAATGCCACTTGAAGAGTTCTGTAAATATATTTTACAGACTAAGAAGCTTTCCATATTTATTAAACAGTTTTGGCATAATTACTGCTCTGAATATTATGTTTTCATTTTTATGGTTGTCCACTTAACGATTAATCGATTACTAAATTGGTAATCTGATTAATTAAGAACTGACTCTGAGGATGTTTCTGGTTTGATTTTCCTGTTGAAGTAAAGCGAAGCTGTCGCCAGTTTTCCACCCAAAGTGAAACTTTGCTGCTTCCAGGACTTTCAGGCTCTGGTCTCACGTAGTTGATGAATTATCCTCTCAACCAATCCCTTCTTTATATTTTGCCTCCAATTTGTTTTGTGCATCTTGTTTCAGGCAGCACAATAAA